TTGACAAAGGCAAAAGTTGAACGTAAGTTTCACGCTTTCGAATTCAATGTTAAATAAGGTTAACTTGGATGCACTTTTATTGCGTAACTAAGCAGAGATTCAATATCTAATAATAAAGAGAGAAAAGTGGCTGATAAAGGGGGTAAAGGGTAGGCAGCATTGCTGCATCTTCGAAACTTGCTAATTTTTTAAACATTCTTTCACATTTTCAGTTGGAATCACAAAAAGAAATAATGTTTTCTCGCACAATTAAACAAACAAAAAAATTATAGCCTGGCCCACTATAGAATGCTCTACAACACCCTACAGTTATGCAAATGACAACTTTTCAAAGGAGGATATTATGTGGAAAGTGGTCGAAAAAACTGGTCCGATGCGAACCATTTCAAATAGCGTTAGTCTTTGGGCAATAACATGACGGTGTACCAAATTTCAACAAAATATCTCAAGAATCGCGACTTCTAGGTTAAACACAACAAACTAGATAAACAGAAGGATAAGCAAGCGTAGAAAGTAGTTTTAAATCGCCAGCTATAATAAAGGGAGAGTCTATCTTAAGTCTTTTTGGGCGTTTCTTATATGCCCACAAACGCCCCTTGTACCACAAGTACCACAAGTAGTGTAAGGTGAAAATACCTCGGATTCATTCAGTATATATACTACTTGTTATCAATAAGAAAGCGTTGGTACCTGAATTAAGAATTATCTTCATTCGGTGCAAATTTCTGTAGTCTCAGCACTTCTTCTCACAAGCGATTCACTCGCATAACCAGCATCTAAAACGTAACGAGAGCAGGGGCATTTCAATGAGAACAATGAACGTATGATCGACCTTTCTAATCTCATACATGCTAATACTAGTTACTCATAGGTGAAGATAGAAAATCAAAAATGCATTAGCATACGATCTTTAATCAAAAAGGGGTCTCCCCTCTACTCGATGAAGAAAACTCGGAGGAAGTTTAAAAATATTGTTTCAACTACTTTAAGACTTAAATAGTATATGGTTTTGAAATCTCACAATTAACGAAGTTCACTTATTAGTTTACGATAGTTTTAAAGAGTCGAGAATTTAGTGAAAAATGTAGGTAAAAGGGATTGAAAAAAAAAAAACTCTAAAATATTGTAATTAAAATTTAAAAAGCCTTCCTTCCGTCGGTTGAATATACATGTATTCCATTCTAAGCATGAGTATCATTATCAAGCTGGCAAGCGGTGTTCGTTATTCTAAAAATTTGTTCAATTGTTATTTTTCAATTTTCTCAGCAATAATATTCATTTTCTACATTGTTTCATTTTATTTATTTTTCTTTTCATTTTTTTTTTTTTTTTTTTTTTTTTGCGAAAACTTTCTCTAGTCCGCAACCAAACTGTCATTTTCATTTAATCGTTTTCTACAGAACCAACCACAAAACATATCATGATATATATTTTATGCTGCTTAACCTCTTTTTCCTAAAGATAACCACTGCAAGCAAATATATCCATGTGTATATACATGTAAAGCAGGAGCTGGCAACATTAGGCCCGTAGTATTTGATAGACACTTTTAAAGCTATATTAAGTGAAAAGCGAAACGAGGGAAGAGTATAAATACTGCTTATCGAAATTTCTAAGAATATTATAAACAATGAATGAGTGATCCGCCGCATAATTTTCTCTTTAAAGTTCCAAAGTATCGGATCACAAGTACCAAGCCAGTGTTGATAGATTCAAATCGCAGTGCGCTATACTACTTCAGTTTGCAGTAGCGCTAAACTTATAATACTTGCCGATTGGGCACATAAGCCCACTCGACTGTTCCCATTCCCTCTCTATTTTTTTCCCTTTCCCCACCCCTTTCTGACTGTTAACGTGTTACGCACACGGTGGACATGTCCTGATTAATTGGTCACACCAAAGAAGAAAGAATCTACACTCAATATATATTCAAGAATTTCTTCTTCTTCTTATAAAGGCATCCAATAATAGGTCATTCACTCAAGGGTTTGTTGAGCATTGAATGTAAAAAATTGCCGACTTCTGATGTAGAAAGTGTCAAATTTCTCATAATTAAAAATTAATACAAAAATATGAAAAGAAAAATGAAATGATTTCAAAAACACACCGAACACACAAAAACAAAAGTAACACTTTTATTATTTTCCGCTTTAATTGGAAACTTTGCTTAATTAATGTTGACCCAATTAAGGCACAAATAAAACGTTGGATAAATGTGCAACTATTGTTTCGAAGGCAAAAGTTTCTCAAGTAAAATAAAAACAAATGAATTTGAAATATTATATTAAACAAAAATTTCGAAATGGGAATAATTGAAATCCAAACACAAGCTATTATAAGCAAGCTATGTAAACAAAATCCAAATTTAAGCTAATTTTACTTTTAATTTTTTTTTAATGAATTGTTAAGCAACAATTTTCGCTTATTTCACCCTAAAAAGTGGCAACACACATAATCGCGCAGGCAAGAAACTGATAACTGCACAGAGCACAGAATATTCATCTGTATTTTAAAAAAATATTAAATATGTTTAGTTTGCATAATTTTAAAAATAACAACCCTACACCATGCTACAGTTATCCATATAACGATTTTTCATAATAAGACACTATACGGAATATGGTCGAAGAAGTTGTCCGAAACTATCCAAACCGTTTTCAATAGCGTTCGCTGTTAAGTCCAACACATGTCGGGGAACCAGAGTCCATCAAAATTTCTCAGGAATTGCAGCTTGTTGATTGAATAAATCAAGCCGGACAGATGGACAGACAGACGGATAAACTTAGATCGATTGAGAAGGGCATTTAGAAAGTGATTCTGAATATATAGGCATAATAAAAAATGCGTCTATCTCAACCCTTTCTGAGTGTTGCCTACACCCGCACAAACTCAATATACCTTTTTGCCTACCCACATCACTTGCAGTTGATAGGAAAATTGTAAAAAAATGTTGAAATTTATCATTTAAAGCATTGTACGGCTTACGTTCCCCACTTTTTCCCATATCGCAATAGTGATCAGAAGTTGCAAAGTCTAGTCAATAAGAAGAACGGCGAACAAATCGCACTTCAGTGCTGTTAACTTTTCCTCGGAGATTGTTACGTACGAGACCGAACGTAAGTTCAAGTTGAAAAATCATCTTATCAATACAAAGCGGCCGTTTGTATACTAAGGCTCCGAACATTTGCGTCGGCTGTTTTCAGTAAAGTTCTTTAGTTACAGTTCTGAGCCCCTCTGATCTCTACATGTTATGAGCATAAGCTATATGAATATGAATATTTGACTATACGCTGAATATTGATTTTTTTACCCGCTTGTACCATTATTTTTTTCATTATACAGTCACAATAGAATACAAGAAATCTTTCCTCTTTGTGGAATAAACCTGAAGTTATATGTACATTGAAAACATGGACGTAAAGCGGCCCCAGCGCAACTCTAAACAAAATGACATTGGTCAGGCGTCTAGCCAAAATAAAATTAATAGAACCTTGTAGTACAATGAAAAAATTAATTAAATGAAGTGCTTCTCGTAAACGATATCTCGCACATCAAATTGTTGATAATGTTGCTGGGTATCTACGACAAATGGCGAAAGTCAAAAACATAGCTAAATGAATGCTAGAAGATATGCAAGGCATAAAATGTAAGGATCGTTTAAGCCTTAGAAAGTTGATTTGGGTGATGAACATAATTTATTATTCCCTTCATAACTTTCTGACTGATATTTTCTGAATTAGAATAGCACCTTTATCCGAAAATTTAACCAATCTCCTCAAATAAGCATCGCCATTGCGCTTCTAAGGCCAATTTTACCATTTTGAAGCTGATGTCTTGGATTCGGAATAAGCTAAAGACGAGCTTCGACGAGTAACTAGCGGAGAATTGCACCGCATACTGGTGCAGTTGTATTGTATGCTTCACCGCATAGGTCCAAACCGATAAATTTTAATTAACTCCGATTATTATTTTCACTTAACGATTCCGGATACTTCTCATAGGTTTACATCTTTTGTAGACAAGGTTTTGATATTTTTCAAAATTTATCTGTGAAACTGCCATTTAGGCATTTTTAATAATTACAGTTGCGCGTGAACGGTCAGATAAATGTTTAAAAACACTCACGTGAAGCCATCGAGCAGCTCAAGCCGTTTTAAAAAGTGACAAGTGAAAATCTAATAGATATAAACATAATGGCGGATCAATCTATCTACATCCCCCACACATTAATTGTGAATTAAGTAATTTAAAGAACGACAACCTTATAAAATAAGTTATATTTTTGTATATTATATCACTTGTGGTACAAGGGTGCGTTAAGTTTGTGTGTATTAACATGATATCCAGAAAAACTTAAGATATACCCGCCTTTTAATATATTGATCAATACTGCAACACTTTGTGAGTCTGATCTAAGCAGGTGTGTCGGTCCGTCCAGCTAATGTCTGTTCTTGAATTTTTCTGTTCAGGCATGGGATATTTTGATGAAGTTTGACACACCAACCTGTTTTCGCCGAAGTACAATTGTTCTAGAAAATGGTTCGAAATGGACCACTTTTCCGACCACTTCTCGTACAACGTGTTGCTTTGAAAAGTCGTGGGGCAAGGTAATCTCCTGGTGGTCCATGAATAATGATAATGTTTTCTCTTGTTTTGAAAATAAGTTCTATAAAGAACTGTACTGGGCGAAGAGGTGTAGTATATGTAATGGTTTTACCTTTTATATATAACCCGTTAACATACTAACCGAAATTTTTGGATCTTTCTCGGGTTTATTAAAGATTCTAAAAATTCGATTTACTGCGCAGTTAGGGTCAATTGTCAAACTTGCTCTAACACCGCCGTAACATACTAACAAATTTTTACTTCAGTTCAGGCGAACCTATGCGATTTTAAAATGGCGAATTACCTTTATTTCATTTATTTATTTAAAAATTTTCATCATTCTTTTTTTTTTTTATTTATTGTGACTAAAATGATTTTTTCTGTTTAATTTTCAGGGTAAATTTACGTCAAAATCGGATGTTTGGTCATTTGCAGTTACCTTATGGGAAATTTTAACGTTCGCCCGCGAGCAACCATATGAATATTTAACGAACGCTAAAGTTATTGAAAATATTGGTCATATGTATCGTGATAATAATCAATACGTAAGTTTTAATTCGATAGGACAATAAAACCATAAAAATCGATCAACAAAATGATTAAGTGAGAAAAACAACTGTTCATGTAATGCCACTAAGGATGCAGCTATAGGTGTTGCGAGGTAATTTTGCTACGAGTACTATTTGTCCGCTGCTTCCCAGCTTTCAAACCAAAATGTGATGAGGCCTGGTTTTCACTCTACACAGAAACCAAAACAAAAAAAGTTCCGGCACTGTCAAGCCCATAAAAGATCTCCCGGGCAGACTTTGTAAGGTTCTGGGCGATGATTAAAGATCCATGTACTTCAGCGTAGTTAATAAACTACACGAAACGTTTATAGTTTGAAAACCGTTCGTATGAATTCTATATTTAACGAACAACGTAAGGTTAAATTTATTTGCCAATTAGCGACCCTATATACTTCAATAGAAATTCGTAGATAAATATTCACAAATTTTTGCCATGTGACAGATTCAACTCTCTATACTCCACTTGGGTTAAAATTTTCCGTAGGTATGTGGTGCCCAGAAGGGATTAAAATGGACCCGTCATTTATTATAACGGTTCAAAATCATTTCCTGAACCGATTTAAGTTTGTCTGTCCGTACGCCCAGCTCACGTGAGTCCATGTATATTTGTATTCAATCTACAATTTGTTTACAATCTACAAATCACACCTTATTTCTCTTTTACATTCATTCTGGGTATAGCGATTTTTTTTTTTATAAAAATTCTTATATAAGAAAAATTTCCAAAGTCTTCGCCAATAATATTTCGAAGTTTTAGATTTAAAAAATCTGAATCCAATGGACTAATTTTTGGGACCCTCTCTTGTACAATTGTTCCTACGAAAAGTGTTTGTTTATATGGCGGAAAGAGCTCATTTTTTCCTGGTTATTTCTTATTGTGAAGACGGTAAATTGATACTTGCAGCCAAGAAACCACAGTGAAAAACTGATTCCGAATTCAAATTACATGTACAGTTGTTGGGTCAATTATGTTAAAACTATTTCGTACTTCTTTCTATACCCATCACAGAAGGATGAGGGGGATGATAGTGATTTTAGAACACCTACAAAGTATATATGAATGATTAGCATGAAATTTCGAATCGATTTAAGCATGCCCGTCTGTCTGTCTGTCCATCTGTGTAACGTGTACACATTCTCTTGGCCACACAAATGAAGCGACCGCCTTCGAATTTAACAGAAACATTGAGAGTTATTTCCCGCGAGTTGGCGTTAAAAATGGGCCAAAGGGACAAAAAAGCTACGGCAGATAAATCTGAACATACATATAATGCGCGAAAATTTGAACATATATTTCATGGGCAATGCTGCCAACTTCAAATTCAGAGCACATCTGTTCGTTTGGCCACCTGCCCACCTTCTCATCTTCTTAATGTTTGAGATAAACATTCTCCCGTTTGCCACAAGAAAGGTATCGCTTAGAAATTTGTAAAAGAATTTGAAAATAACCTGAACCGGTCAAAAGAAAGATCGCCAACGCCCATATGCTTATGCAAAACAAAAAAAAATGTGAACGCCTTTTTTTCCCGTGTTTTGCTTGTTACTCAAATTTCTCCCCTTTTGTTCTGGAAATAGAAAATTTAGTTCTTTCCTATTTTTATAATCTTTTTTAGGGCAATGTTGATGGGTATAAAAGATTCGGTCGCGACTAAATATAATTTTCATACTTATTTTTGTTATACTTAATACAATTAATAAAAATTTTTCTTTAGGAATTGCTTATCATACCAGTGAATTGTCCACGTGAAATCTACGATTTGATGTGCGAGTGCTGGCAACGTAATGAAGCTAATCGTCCCAATTTTCGGGAAATTCACTTGTTTTTACAAAGGAAAAATTTAGGTTTTAAACCGACACTAATGACATATTAAATAAATCATAAAAAAATAATAATAAAAAAAAAAAAAGTAAAAAAAAAAACAATTAACAATTTGTCTAATAAAAGTAAATAAATATGAGAAAAAAAAAAGTTTTGAAAACTAAAAGCGAATTTATAAACAAAAAAAAAAGAAAAAAACAAAAAATAAAACAAAGAAAAATTACAAAAAAATATCAATTATTTAAGTTGAAAATAAAAAACTAAAAGAAGAAAACCTTTTTAAAAATTTTACCTCTAAGCTTCTCACTCAGAAATTGTAAAGAAACAAAAAAAAAAGTCTTTATGCTTAAACCATTTTGTATATATTTTAAAAGAACAAATTTAATTTTAATTTCTGCCGATATTTAATAAGCAAAGGAAATGAAAATGAAAATAAAAAATATCTAAAATCCTAAATATATATATATACATATATATATATATATATATTTTAGAAGTATGTTTGTGTATGTGTACCTTCCTCCTATTGACCTGTTACCAGTCATTAACTATAATAAAACTCATAAAAAGCAATTATATATATATATATATATATAAATATATATATAAATTATTTCTTTCAATTTAATGTTTAAAAAATTTAAAAGAGAAATAATAATAAATATAAATATAACAAAATCACAAAAGAAAAAAAAAAAAAAACAACTTGATCCCTAACCTGCACACGAAAAAAGTTCTTTCGACAATAACTATTCTCAATTCTCGAACTATTCGCGTACTTAATCTAAAAAAAAGAAAAAAAATATTTTACACTCACTACCAAAGTTTTGTCCTTCCGTTTATCGTATCCAAAAATACGCGCAACAAATTGCATAAAATATTAATTCTAAAAGTAGATGCGTTCGCTCTGCTCATCCAGGTGTCAAATCAACGGAACATTGTACATTCAGAAGTTAACTATCGAATTCCATGACCTATATACAGCTGCAAAGAGAAAATCTATATAAAAGCATCACTTTTTTCCATTCCCTAAAATTTAGAAAGCTATCGCAAACGCAGAAACCGATATACTCCGTGTACGAAGAAAAAGCCGTAAGCGGAAGGGCAGGGTTAGCGGTTTTATAATTCGATAAGTGACTACTACTGCCAAGCAAATGAGAGCTATAACCGAATATGACCCGTATTTGACATTGAACGTAACCCCAATATTTACTGATTAAATTTTATTCGTTACGCCTACACTACTAGACTGCTGTTGGTACACGTTATATAAAGCTTGTGCAGATGTGCGCAATAAGCAGAAGGGCTTGATTTAAAGGCACTGTTTTTTATACCAATCGACTCAGCATCACTTTCTAAATCGATTTGAGTTTGTCTGTCCGTCTGTCCTTTTTGTTTTCTTTTGTTCGACCCACGGACCGTAATTTTTGGGACATTTTAATGAAATTTAATATACTGAGGTGCTTTGCTTCAAACGCAAATGCTATTGAAAACTGTTCGGATCGGCCCACTTTTTTGAGCACTTTCCGTACGACACCTTAGGCATTGTGACTGTAGACTAGTATAAGGTATTCAATGATGGACTGTGAATTTTGTTGCGTGCGTAATCAAGCATTGCGTACTCGTGAGATCGATTTTGAATTGACTTGAACAAGTCCACGCATCCGATAATCTGTTATTAGAAATTTTATTATCAAATATTTGAAGAAAAAACTCAACCAAACCCAGTACTGCTTAACTAAAGACCAGTTTTAGAAATTAGTAAGTACGATCCACGTGCATGATCCCTTAGATCTACTATACTAAATATGGATCTTTTAGGTCCTTTACACTGCCCGAAACTGAAAAAGCTGGAACACGGAATAACGAGGATAAGAGTCAAAATTTGCGGCAAATACCATTAGCATATAGTAGAACCATTGGGAAGAGCCGCGCACTGAACAAAAACTGAATCGATATGCTAATGTACTAAAAAAATTTAATTACAATTTTGCTTCTGTATATGCTTAAGGTAGTGGGTACATAGAGTTCGCCCCAAGGCGAACATTATTCTCATATTTGTTCTTGTTTTTTTCCAAGTATTTTTCGGGTGCCTTTTTTTACGTTGAAGTATTTTGTTTTTTCCTTTTTTTTTAATTTAACTTTTCATCTATTTTCAGTATAAGTCCTATTGTATAATAAGCTTTGTCTTCAAAGTAAAGGTTTCGCTGAAAAGAAAAACAAAAAAAAAAGTTCATCATAAAGAAAATGTATAAAAAGGAAATTTAAAAAAAAAAAACTTTTTATGTATAAATTATTCATTATTCATTTCGCTTAAAAGCAAAAAATAAAAATCTTTAACGTAATGATTAGAAAAATGTGAAACAGATTCTAAATATAAGTATATTGGGAAAATTAAAATATTTTTTGCTAAAAAAACTTTAAACATGTTTTAGAAAATATGCAAAAAAAAGGCTTAAAAATTGAAAAAAATATTAACTTTATGTATAAAAACAAATAAAAATTCGCCCACGGGAGAATATCGATTATCCATCATCTCGAGTCCAATAGATTTGCAAAATTCATATAAAGAATGATTTCGGAGAAGCAATGCGTAAAACTACTGCCTTTCTCTGCCTATCATGTCAGCGCATTGTTTCTGCGGTAAAATGTCTGAATAGTTTCTGAAAACTTTTCCGTTATCGTACCATATGAACTCGGCTCGGCTCGGCTCCGGGTCCCTTAAGCCAACTATTCCAATACATAATAGAACGAAATAAAAACTGTTGGTGGATAAAGAAAGCAAATAAAACATTCATAGTCGATTAGCATCCGCTGTTAATTACTCCACACTATCATTAAGAGTAAAACATTTACGGGGATTGTCTGATAAGTATTTATGTTAGGATACGGATACTACTTTTAAAGTTTATACAATGATCTACTTTTAAAAACTTGAAACATTCAATATTAATTGCATTCCATAGTTTGCGAGTTTCTTTACTTAAACCGAGGAATTTTTATCCCTTCGTTGTTAAAAAAGGAGATAAACCTTAACCTAGAACAGCAGTGAATAGTATAATAGACTATGTGGAAGTTGCCAGGGCCTGCAGAAGATCACATCACTCAGTCACTTTTTACACTGTTGCAAGTCGACTGACATTAGTAGATCGTGCTGTCTTCGATGATTTTGTGAATCTCTTCCTTCTCGCACCTGCTCAAGGCAAACCCAAGCACACACGTTAGCGCAATGGGATTATTTTTGGTATCTTCCCTGACCAAAATTAACTTAATAATAAAATATGTGCCATTTCGCTAATTGCAAACCCTGATGCTTAGCTAAGCCATTTGCCCCTAATACCGTTGCAGTATTCTCTTCGGTTTTACAAACTACCACCATGCTTAACATAACCTAATTCCAATATATAGTTTTTCAACTTGCGGCCATTACGAAGAACTGGAAAGTTTTACTCAATCGCTTCCACTAGATTCTAGATTTCTAACTTGAAATTGTTTGGTTTTCTAATGTTTGCATATGAAAAATTTATAATCATGTTCTAGCGTTGTGACCATTTACTTACTAATCGTAGGATAGCACATCGTGTTCAAATTTTATATTCCGATGTTACAGTAAAACCCTTCCATATAAAGTTTGATATAAAACTAGGTAATTAAATCGCGAAAACTTGAAAAAGCCTCTGACTGCGTTATAAATTTGGAATTGTCTGTGATATTACTCACAAAGCCAACGAGAAAAAGATAGAAGGCGACAACTGAAATTTGAATGCGTCAATCGACTAAATTGTCGCGTTCAGAAAATCCGCGTATGCTGAATGCGTCCAACGCAACGTGCCAAAGTTTGACGTGTCGCTATCGCAGGCTTAAATCGATTGACCTAGAAGACACTTGGTCTCAATAAAACGGGCGTGACATATAGGATGGGTAAAGCGGGTCCTAAATGATCAATATAACTTGTTTAAAACAACAAAAATAACTTCTGCGACTAAAAGCAAGATTAGCATTAGCAACCAAGGACTAAATGGTTAGTATAGTCGGGGGTTCTCTCATACAAAATTATGGCAGGGTGTAGAATAGTTTAAGGTATAACATTAGCCCGTCCGGTAAGAAAGTTTCAATCGTCCACCTGTTTCCGATAGGGTTTCCTCATATGTATTTCTTGAGTGTAACCGTTTGTGAAGTGTTTGTTGGATAAAAAGTGGAACCGACCCTCAATTACTGCCGAACTAGCTAGCTTTACAACGACACATGCGTGGCCTGTTGACTAAATATATTGCTTTCTGTTACGCTGTTATACCGGGTACAATTCCTCGAATATTGAATCTTACAAACCCATTAGATCGACACTGTAATATAGCCAAGACGAATTCTTGCAAATCTTTGAGGTTGAATTTCTCGATTTTGTTTGTGATATATACGTAATGGTAGAACGGCATTAGGATTAAGGTGAGGGTAGTTTGAATTGTGGTCATATTGACTTTTTTAGTTCATTTTCTCTTTATCTCTTTACTTTCTTTTAACATATTTTTGAAGGTCAACATTTTCCCTTATATCATTTCCCTTGTTAATGTTGCCGAAGCGTGAGATTCGTAATTTAAAAGCAATATTTAAATCTTCAATTGATATCTTCAGACCGTTTTAAAATCCTTATCCATAGCAAACAAAACGAAGGATCCCCACTAATAAATAGTAAATAAATGAGATATCAAGCATGCATCTGAGATGTTTAGGAAGTTAGTACACTTTCTCTGTAGAGATCTTTGTTAGCAGTTAAGACTTACATTTTTATGTAGACGCGTAAAAATTTTCTCGACGCCATAAAAACTTGAACATTAAATAAGAAACTTTTGACAATGTGTTAGTAAACTTTTCACCTAATTAATATATATACGGATATATATGGCGAACGGTTAAACATGTATACTTATTATACATTCCTCGTGTATGTTCTATTAAGATATTGTTTGTTTCACTTACAACGACTATTGAAATTTATGTTTTTTCATTCTAATAATTATTTGCTTGTTATGTGTACATAAAATCCTCTGGCCTGAATATTCATACTTTAATAAATCATTGTTATTTCTTACTTAAATTG